CGAATTCAGCCTGTGAGTAATGTGGCCCCCTGCCACATTGTGGTGGGCCTCGCCCGGGGATGTGTCTGCATGTTTGTCTGATGCGCTTCTTGCCTCTGACCAGTGTGCAGGGAGGCAGAGGAAGCTGGGCTGGTGCCCTGATGTCCCCCAAGGGTCTAGCTTTTATGCCCCGTCCTTTTGGTTTAGCTCAAGACGGGTAGCCGCGTTGGTCTGTCTGTCGCGCTGGAAAAGAGGAGCACCTTAAAGACTTTAAAGACTTAAAAGACTTTAAGGAGCACCTTAAAGACTTAAAAGATGTGGCGCGGGGGGGGTGAGCTTTCGTGAGTCACTGCTCACTTCTTCAGATACCCATGCCACATATTTTGTGAGTCTTTAAGGTGCTCCTTTCTACCCTGCCACATATTTTGTGAGTCTTTAAGGTGCTCCTTTCTGCTATTGGGTAGGGTTGAGGGAGCTTGGATCCGCTTGCCTGTGGAAATCTGCCAGAAAGAAGCTTGAAGGAAGATGGTCCTCTGTGAGTGGTGGGTGGAGCGAAGTCTGCTGCACAGTTTGTTTCAGGGGGTGCAGGGGTTGCTGTCCTGGGGGATGGGGCCTGTTTGTTCTGCACAGACTGATGACTCAGGCAGTAAAGTGCTGTTACTTGGCATTTGGGTGTCTGGAATGTCTTGGTTTCCAGTCTCATAGTGTTTATACAAAGCCTTATAGTTCCTTTAGCTATTTATACCCTGCTTCCCCCCCCCCCCCAGAAGGGACCCCCCCCCCCCCCAGTGGGGACCCAGAGTGACTTCATCGTCGTTCTTCTCTTGTGTAGATCAGGCTGAGAACCAGTGGCCTAAGGAGACCCAGTGAGCTTCCCTGGGACAGTGGGGATTTGAACCTGGGTCTCCTAGATCCTAGTCCAACACTCAGACCAGTATACCACACTGGCTGTAATGATACTGTTTAAAACAGTCTGTTTTACATATCAACAAGTGCTCTGCTGTGGTACATGCGCTTGTCACATTCACGTGTCCTTTTTTAGCTATTCGTCTCAGAATGTAACTGTGAAGTCAGGTGAAGGAGCTTGTACTTCACGATTTGTCTAATTTTATCTGCTGTATCTACAAGCTAAATAACTGTGAAATTGAGCACCTAAGAGTGTCAGAATGAGAGAACAGCAAATTAGACTGTTCTTAGGGGCAAGGAGGATATATTAGATGACGTTTAACCTCTGAGCTCACCTGTAGTCTTAAAAGTTGGTGACTCATCTGTCCCCATACGTATGTGTTTATGTGGTATACATAAATAGCCTTCTAAATTAAATGAGTTGGCCAATTAGTATGAATGACTCCTCCACATCTGTGAGAAGATACTTCAGGGCGATTGTAATGTAGGAACAACTCTAGGCCTGTGGTTATTTCCTGTCTTTAGAAAAATTGTATGATGGCTAGGGAGATGCATGTTTGTTTTTGAGGATGGGCTGCTTTTTCAGCTAGTGAAAGAAAAAAACTGCCGAGTTGTACAACATGTACATGTAGCAGCATGTGGCTCCACACTGAGACCTGAGTGCATGTTACCTGACAGTTACTGGTAAGGGTTTTTCCCCTTTGCGAACAGGTCCATATCCAATGGATCTTGCGGATCTACTCTCATCAAGGTCACCATGTGTCAGAGTTGTATCTGATGCTCACTGTATAGACTCTCTAGGAAAGCCTTTTGTATAAGACTTGTATTCAGAGTTGTACAGATTTTGCAACTATTTTATAATGCCGTTACAGCAACAAAAAGTGCACTTGGCAAGGGAAGACTCGGAAACCCTGACAAATGCATGTTGTATAGTTCAAGGATTGACATGTTTTACTGTTTAAAAATGTATATCCCATCTTGCTTTAAAAAAAAACACTCTATGAAGCACAGTAAGCCAAACAACAGCGCTGGCTCTTCGGCTTTGAAACGGAGATGAGCACCGCAACCCTAGAGTCGGATTCAACTGGCTTTCAAGCAAGGGAACCTTTACCTTAAATCTTCATCACAAAGCCCAACTCAACGCCACTGGGGGAAAAAGCCCTACTAAAGATACTTTGGTCAAAACTGACTTATGGGCTGAGCAAAAGGCAAGTGACAAAGAGGCCTCACATATATCAGGCAGTGATTTTCACAAAAAAGGGAGGTGGGAACCTCAGGACACTGAGAATATGTGAACTACATAAATGGAGGACATGGCCAAGAGAAGTAGCCCAGGAGGTTGTAGCTGCCACTTGATGCATCTCCAGATATGTGGACCCCAGGTCATTAAGGATTTTAAATTTAAGAAGCAGAACCTTAAATTGAGCCTGGAGTCAAACTGGTAACCAGTTCAGTTGTAATAAATTCATAGTGCCTCATTCTAGTAAGGAGACAAACTGTTGCATTTTGTAGTACCTGAAACTTCCAAGTTGTGTTTAGGGGCAGCATCCATAGTATTACAGCAGTTAAAACTTAAGGTTATTGGAGCATGGATTGGTGTGGCTACATCAGCTCAGTCCAGAAAGGAAGAGGAATTTTTTTACAAAGTTTAAGATGAAAAAATGTTCCTACATCACCAGTGTTAAACACAGCATCATAACTATTTGGTGTAGCTAACTCAGCATGTCTCTCAGTAGGAGAAATCCAATATTAAATGCATTTTTCTCAGAGTGGATGAGAATGGATTTTTAAAATATTTTCAGCTGTAATTTTCTTTTGTAAAGATAAAGTGGTTTATTTATTTATTTATATTTCAATTTCTATACCGCTCATGACCCCTACTGGGTCTCAGAGCGGTTTACAATGAACTACTTTATGTAGTTGGTTACCTAGCTAGGGCCACAATTACACGGGGAGGGGGTTACCCAACAGCACCCATGTGGCGTATTTCCTTCTCTCCGGCGGGCCTCGGACATTGTTTTTCTGACGATCCGG